GCCTTACTAGTAGTAACAAGAAGCTATTAGGAACAAGTGCCACGCTAGTAGTAACAAGTGCCACGCTACTAGTATCAAGTGCCTTACTAGTAGTAACAAGAAGCTACTAGGAGCAAGAGTAGGGGCCAGTGGGCACACATGAAATTACCTGCTAATTCTATTCTTTTTCTTGTAGTTGGAGGGATGCATCAGTTTCGTTTCAGCGGGGTTTGGACGTTTGTAGCTTCAAGCCATTTTGGTCAGTTCTACCAGTGTTGCCAGTGTTATGTTTCGCCGACAAAGTTAATAAGGACAGCGCACACTCACAAACTCCATACATCTCCAGACACTTCGAGGAACCTGGCTCGAATTGGAAAAAGCCTCCACCGGCACCACCAGGGGCTTCCAGATGGATCGCCTGCTGGTGTCCTTGGGGTGTTGCGGTGCCGAGGCGCGAGCGGCGGGCAAGCAGGGGCGCGTTCCTGCGGCGCAAGGGTTTTGTTTCCGCAAGGGCACAAGAGGAGAATGTTATTTTTGGAGATTGGTTTGCTCTGTTATTGTTCTTTTCTTTTTTAGTAGTAGTAGTTGTTCTGGTGTTTATATATGTTGTTTTCTGGTTTGTTGGACCTGCAATTTGTCGGGTCATGTGAGAAGTTAATCAACTCATGGTGCAAGACACCAGCGGTCCCTATAGGTATTTTCTGATTCCAACCAAACAACTTTGCGTCACATGGAAGAGCTTGAACAATGGACCTTATCATTATTGTCAACCGACATACTTCCTCAAATGCAGATGGCGACTTGCAATGCCATGTAGTCATAAGCATGGGCCCAGTTCTATGGATGCTTCGGCGGTTGGCAGATGTGGCACATCTGAGCAACTTACACCCCGAATCATTGCATGTCATTGCTGCAGCTTTGCATTGGCAACAAGCTGCTTGCTTGGCTCCTATCTCCCGCGGCCATTCCCACAACAAGTCTTGCCCCATGAATGTTGCAGAGGATGTTTGTATCAAAAAAGCATTGGGTACTTTGCGCAGGGTAGGCTACAAGCAAGGTAAAACACGATTCTACATATGTGCAAACAAAACAGCTGACACAACATCCAGCAAGTGGATCAAGGATCGACTCCTAAAGCATGAACAGAGGGCCGAAAGCATGAGGACAAGTAGATAGGCCGAGCAGAGAAACAAAAGTTATATAATGACTTGTTCATTCTTTCAGGGGCCAGTACATGGTGAGTTCTTAGCTGAGCATCCATTCCAACTTCCAGCACATTCTCCAAAGTGAAGTACTGCTTTAGCTATGCAGGTGCCAGCCGTGGTTGTCAGATCATTCATGGGTTTGAGCTACAGAGTTGCAAAAAACGGGCTAGTGACAGCAGACTTGGACGCGGACCTTAGGTTGAAGGATGGAAGTACTAGATGGACTACATTGAGGTCTGAAGGTTGGTATATTTTACTCAAGTGGTCTTAACATGTCGTTCTTTGAGCAGTAGCAAACAACGCAATTTCACAGGTGAGCAACAGACAGAATATCGAACGGAACTGTTTAGTGGTGTGTGGTCATGGAACCTTCAAAACACTGAGAACTGACAAGGGACCACCCACAGCCAATACCCTTGGATTGAACTTAAATGCGGGCATCCCATGAAACACTTGCAACCGATAGAGGTACACCTAATTTTGAGATGGCAATTGTGATTGACACCATATGTTGTTTGCTGCTCCGGTCCGATGAAGGAAACGCTGTTAAAGATACTAGAGGCCATCAGAGGCCATCAGAGGCCATCCAGGTTCACTACACCAAGTAAACTCTAAAACGTGCATTTGGAGATTGCTCCCAGAACATGCAAAGATCCACTGTAGCAGTCTTGGACACAACCTGAAATGTAGCTCTATCTACCGCCTTGGCCACATTTGGCCACTAGCTTCTCGTCCCACCCGTCTCTCCTCCGGAGTTGGAGATGGTGCAGGTTTGGAGCGTCGCCGCCTGGCTGATCGCGCCCTTGGGAGGTTTGCTACTCGCTGCCACAGCGCGATATCCATGGAGCTCGGTGGAGACGTACGAGGCACGGATGGAGATAGTGGGGAAGGGAAGTGGATCCAACCTAACTAATAGTGGGAAGGGACAAAAGTGGTAATGGATCTGGATCTTTTACATTGCTTTTAGGTTGGAGGCCATTGCTATTAGGTTGGACCAAGGACACCACCCTGAAAGACAACCGATGAGTTCTAATGTGATGAGCGTACTGGCGTGGTAGGTGGTCCATGGTGGTCCTACATGTATTGAGCTCCTAACTGACCCGCAGCCACAGCCATCATATTGTTTGCGTAGGATACCATTTACCATTGTACAATTTTCAACAGCCAGCAACAACCACTACGACTGCTCCTACTACATTTGCACCTGCTTCATCCTTCACCGCAAGCTACTCTGAGACAAGCGTTTGGTGTCAGGCGACGAGCGCCACGCTCTTGCGGGCGCATTTCACCTTGGCCGAAGGCTGTTTCCGCAACTTGGTTCGTGACAAGTCGCTATGCACAGCGGTGGCTGATTGCGATGGGTGGAAGCACTAAATCCGATGTGTGGGTTGACCAAATCCGATCCCTTTGCTTTTTGACAACCTGTGGGAATTTGGCTTTGGGAAAACATCATCCTCAAGGGCAGAGTCCACTCGAGATGCTCAGGGCCAGCACGGAATCAGAAGCACCAGCGCTTCCCATGGCAATCGATGAATATACTGTAAATTATATATATTATATATTATATACACCTTGTATTCACTTGAGTCACCTGAATGTTAAAGGACCTGAAGGTTGGGCCTACAAGGGTGTGCGCAACTTGGTATCTAGATGGCTTGTTAGGATTACCCTCCCTACCCCAGGATTGTACGCTGACTGCCTGCCTGAGTGGCTAACTAACTGACTGAGAGCTCCTTTTTCCGAACGGATATTGCCATTGGTTTGTCAGGTTTCAATCCTGGCTTTGTCTGGCTTTGGTCGACTGTGGTTCTTTAGGTCGAACTTGGTCGCCACCGCTTTGCATGTTGTTTTGAACTGTAGCTGAACACGAACAAGCAATCGCTTCTAGGTGGGAGGCCACTGAGTTGTCAAGTAGCTTCCAGCCTTCCTGACTTGTGCGAAGTGCTTGATCAAGGTGTACGGACCGTGCCTGAAAGAAACAGTCGACAGGCACGGCACCAAGCTCAGCTGTATTGTTTTCGTGAGCTACCTGGTTCCTATGAAGAGGTGTGATGTTTATATAAGGCTACACTGGCTACTACACTGACATTTTTCAGTGGTAACTGCCTTTTTGGCATCAGCGTTGGAATTTGAAGAGCATTCTTTGGAAGCCTGAGCCAGTCGTGGGGAAGAAGTTCAACCCTATACCCAAACATGCAAGCAGTGAGAAAGTACGAGAATGGTTCAATTCATCTCAGTTCCATTGTTGTTGACATGACAACCCCTGGAAAACCGCTTCCTAGTGAGGAATCTGAGCTAGAGTCATCGTCCAGGTCACCAAGGAGACGGCCATGCAAACCGACTGTGCGGTGCGAACCAACGCAGTCGACCTGCGATCCGGACCCGACGGACTTCGCAGGTGTCGCCTCTGCGAGTGCCGTGGGTCCCACTGCAGGACTTGGTGGAAGGGCCACCAGCCTTGGCACGTTTTCGGAGGACCGGCGATGTTCGTTTGGAGTCTTGTTTGGGATGAGCTTTATGCGATGCCCGCTGAAACAAACAACACAAATCCCATAATCCCATACTTGATGATGCAGCGATGCACGTGGTTTTTTTTCAGAGCGCAGACCCGAAATTCACGTGCACAGGCAGCTCTTGCGTCCGAACCAGCGCGTGGACTTGCTTGGCGCCCGACCAGGAGAGAGGGATATGGAACCTTGGCTCACGACTGGGTGTGAAAACGGGTCGGCTTGTCAGCTCAACAGGAATGCATTGCGTTCGGTTTGCCTGCTAAATCTGCCATCAGGGATGGTGTTTGGCTGAGGTTTCGACAAACCAAAAGGTTGCTTAAGCAATGTTGAGCTTATTTTTTGTGGCACCACTAAACAAATTGATTATTAAGTTGTCAAAATCTCATGAAACAACTGTTTTTGTTCGCTGAGATGCATCTAGACCATCCCAATCAGAAGATGGTATGATATGAATGTCAAAATTTGAGTCCAATCCATTGCCAGTGACAAAACGAGCACCAGCTGTTTGTTTCAACTTCAGCCAGTCCTTTTGGCTCACTGCAGTCATTTTGGGAAGAGCTCACAGCACAGAATCAACACAAACACAAAACCTTGGTGTTTCCCCCACCCAGTGGGGGTGGAAAGACAAGACTTGGGGGCTCCACTCTAGCAAAAACTACCATCAACACAAATGAAGCACCATGTCAAAAATGGCACGGCAAGAGCAAAGAGCCACTCTTGAAGTTTCAAAGCATTTCCTTGGCTGGATGGATCGAAGGGCCTGCACGACCAAAGGTCAGGGCCCTGTCATTCAGTGATTTGGAGATGTTGCGACTTCGACATTCTATCTTGAACTTGGATGTTGGCTGTCTGAATACTGCGCTCACTAGGAGTTTGCATCACTAGGACTTTGGCCTTTTCCTTGTGCTGCGACCGAGAGGCCTTGGATGCGTTGGCCATGCAAGAAGGCGATGTGGTTGCCAGTGGTGGTGCAGGAGCTGGGGCTTTGGCATACTTGAGCTTGCTTGCTTGCTTGCGCTTAGAGCTTGAAGACTTTAAAAAAGTTTGATCGCAAGGGTGTTACCTAAGGATCCTGTTGATGAAGTTCACACTTGGAAATAGACATTTGCCAATCATACAAGTGATTCTCTTGCACAGAAGCTTGGAATGATTGTGTTTGTGTTGCCAAGGGACAAAGTTGAGCGAAGAGTGTGTGTGAACCTTATTCTTGGTTCCCCGGTTCCAGCTACAGTGCATTTTTGTAAATACAAGATTTTGAGATTTTGAAAATACAAGAACGACTGAAAAGCAGTGCATTTTTGAAGGTTAACGACAGATTTTGCTTTTGTTGCTTGAAGAGCGCAACTACCCTTACAAAAGGTAAAATCGACGCAGCAGTTGAGGATAATGCCATTTGATACGCGTTGATCAGGGTGGGTGGAAAGTTGGCGCCCCTTTCTTTCGGAGCAATCTCTTGTGGCTGTGGGGTGGCCCTACCTACGTTTCGCTGGCCGTCAAAAAGTTGGTTCGGTGGGCTTTGCCGGTGGGCTCCGCCTTCGCCTTTGTCTTGTTTTGGGAGTGTCCTGCAAAGTAGACTGCTGTTGTTGTCCTTTGCTTGGCGTTGTGTTTGTGCCGGGTGACGTGCGTCCCAACGACGATGCGGTGCCTCGGACACCCCCAGACATGCTTTCAGGTGCGTCTCCTGCCTTTCCTACGTGTCTCCTCGGTTATGTTTCCCTTTTTGGTCAGGCACTACC